GAGGAGGAGAAGGAGGAGGAGGAGGAGGAGGAGGAGGAGGAGGAGGAGGAGGTGGAGGAGGAGGAGGAGGATGATGATAATAAGACTATTCATAATAATATTATTAATAATAATAATAATAATATTAATAATAATAATAATAATAATAATAATAATAATAATACTAAGAATAATAATAATAAGAAGAAGAAGAAGACTCGCACTACTAAAAATAATAAACATAATAATAATAATAATAATAATAATAATGGTAGTAAAAATAAGAAGACTAAGAAGAATACTAATAATAAGAAGAAGAAGAATAAGAAGAAGACGAATAATAAGAAGAATAAGAAGAAGACGAATAAGAAGAATAATACGAATAATAATAATAAGAAGAAGAATAAGACAACGAACAAGAAGGGGAGGAGGAGGAGAGGAGGCGAGGAGGGAGAGGAGCAGGGGGAGGAGGAAGAGGAGGAGGAGGAGGAGGAGGAGGATGAGGAGGAGGAGGAGGAGGAGGAGGAGGAGGAGGGAGGACAGAGGAGGAGGGAGGAGGAGGAGGAGGAGGAGGACAGAGGAGGAGGAGGAGGAGGAGGAGGAGGAGGAGGAGGAGGAGCCAGGCGGGCTGAGGGCCAGGAGAGCGGGGCCAGCCGTCGTCGTCGTCGGCCCGCCCCCTGCCCCTCGTGGCCGCGCGCCGCGGCGGTTGCAATCGGCAGCCGCTGCAGCCGCACGCCCGCGGGCGCCGCCGAGCTGCCGCCCCCTCGGGCCGCCACCTGCGAGGAGGCGGCGAGCGCGGACGCCTGGCCCCCGCCAGGCCGCGCTGGAGGCGGCCGCCACGCCGCGCACCGTCGGCGAGCCGGCCTGGCACCGCCGCGCCAGGCAGCAGCGCGCAGAGGCCAGGGTGCTGCTGAGGGTCTGTTCGGCGGCGCAGGTGCTGGACCAGCACCACTCCGCACAGAAGCACCAGTGCAACCAGCAGTTCCAGCGCCACCAGCAGAACGAGATGGCGCAGCAGTGGACATTGGGACCGCCTGTCGGAGCGCAGCCCTGGCCATGGAGAAGGCAGTCGCGTGGCAGGTCGACGGCCAACAACCAGAACAACCACAACCACCAGAAGAACGACCAGAGCTGGCAGCAGGACCGCGACAACCACCAGAAGGACCACCAGAAGGACGACAAGAGCTGGCAGCAGGACCGCAACAGCCACCGCCAGCAGCACCAAGGCGAGGACACCTACAAGAAAGGATCACGAACTCGCTCCACACCTCGCACAACGACACGGACGCAGAGCAGGAAGCACTACAACGCGCACAACTTCTTCGACGGCTTCCAGTTCTCCAAGAAGCAGCGCGAGATCCTCGACCACGTCCTCCCTGCCGACGACGTGCGCATGCAGTCCCACGAGAGCTTCTCCACGCCCCCGCTGGAGGAGGACATGCGCCGCCTTTGGGTGACAACCAAGCGCGGACGCATCGCTAGGTTGGCAGACCAAGCTCAGGGCGCACGCGCCGTCGGCGTCGACGATTCCAAGATCGTCGCCGAGCTGTCTGTCAACAAGGCAATGCTCCTCCTCACGTTGTCTCCCGACGAGCGGGTGCACTACTACCGCCGATGCATCGACAACACGGTCAGGCGAAAGAATGCGCTCAAGGACGACATCAGGAAGATGCAGAC